GGATTACAGGCTTGAGCCACCGCGCCCGGCCAAAGAAGGAAGTTCTTAAATCTCTCCATGTAACATGTTCTGCTGACTGCAGCTGTTGGAGTTTACATAATTTTCCTTCTTTTTTATAAGTTCTGGGGTACATGTGCAGGGTGTGCAGGTTTGTTAACACAGTGTGCCATGATGGTTTGCTGTACCTGTCAAACCATCACCTAAGTATTAAGCTCAGCATGCATTTATTATTTTTCCTAATACTGTCCCTCCTCAATCCCATCCTCCAAGAGGCCCCAACACAGTTTTCATTCTATCTGACATAGAGTCAAAGGTTGCAAGTCTCTCTTGTGCTGGCATTTGCCTAGGACAAAGGAATCACCACAGGGAAAAGCTGAAAAAGAAGTTAAGAGCTTGAGGCCTAGCATGGTGCCATTCCATGTTTCAGGTCGGCCTTTGCCCTCCCAAGCTAACTTCAGGATGGAGAGCTTGCTCTTCAGTCCCTGCAGCTTCGTTGCCTTCATGGTCAGCACCTGTTGAGGCATTGCCTGGTACTGCAGCACCAAGGTGGCCTCTGAGAACTACCTGGGGTAGAAAGAACTTGGTGTTGGGGACCCTCTGGCCTATAAACCACTTGGCTTCGTTGTTTGCTGACTGTTGTGGCCTTGTTCCTTAAACTGTTTCCCTCTTTTTTTGAGACGGAGTTTCGCTCTTGTTACCCAGGCTGGAGTGTAATGGCCCGATCTCAGCTCACCGCAACCTCCGCCTCCTGGGTTCAGGCAGTTCTCCTGCCTCAGCCTCTTGAGTAGCTGGGATTACAGGCACGCGCCACCATGCCCAGCTGATTTTTTGTATTTTTAGTAGAGACGGGGTTTCACCGTGTTGACCAGGATGGTCTCGATCTCTTTTTTTTTGAGACAGAGTTTCGCTCTTGTTACCCAGGCTGGAGTGCAATGGCGCGATCTCGGCTCACCGCAACCTCCGCCTCCTGGGTTCAGGCAGTTCTCCTGCCTCAGCCTCCTGAGTAGCTGGGATTACAGGCACGCGCCACCATGCCCAGCTAATTTTTTGTATTTTTAGTAGAGACGAGGTTTCACCATGTTGACCAGGATGGTCTCGATCTCTTGACCTGGTGATCCACCCGCCTCGGCCTCCCAAAGTGCTGGGATTACAGGCTTGAGCCACCGAGCCCGGCCTTTTTTTTTTTTTTTTTTTTTTTTTTAAGACAGAGTCTCACTCTGTCACCCAGGCTGGAGTGCAGTGGTGCAATCTCAGCTCACTGAAACCTCCGCCTCCCGGGTTCAAGTGATTCTGCCTCAGCCTCCCAAGTAGGTGGGACCATAGGCATGTGCCAGCACACCCGGCTAATTTTTGTATTTTTAGTGGAGATGGGGTTTCACCATGTTGACTAGGCTGGTCTCAAACTCCTGGGCTCAATCAGTCCTTCCACCTCTGCCTCCCAAAGTGCTGGTACTATAGGAATGAGCCACCGCACCCATCCTGATGTAAGTTTTAAAGTCATCTTGGCACCCAGGCTACTGTGTGAATGTAACCAGCATGCTCTCCATGACGTTTGTTTATTTGTTTGATTGTTTGTTTTTTGAGACAGGATCTCAACTGTTGACCAGGCTGGAGTACAGTGTCAACCATCTTGGCTCACTGCAGCCTTCACCTCCGTGGCTCAAGGGATCCTCCCACCTCAGCTTTCAAGTAGCTGGGACCACAGGCATGCCACCACGCCTGGCTAAGTTTTGTATTTTTTGTAGAGACGGGGTCTTGCCATGTTGCTCAGGCTGGTTTAGAACAGGGCTCAAGTGATTCGCCCACCTAGGCCTCCCAAAATGCTGAGATTATAGGTGTGACCCATCGTGCCTGGTCTCTCCATGACCTTTCATCCCTACTATCCACATTGCTAAAGAGCTTCCCCTGTATATTTCAGTGTGCTTTTTGGGTGTATCTTGGTTGGGTAAATTCTTGGCAGTGCAATTCTTGACTACATGGATTTGCCAGATTTCTCCTCAAAATGCTCAATTTTTACTGGTAAATTAAGTTACAGTAATAGCTGGGCATGGTGGTTCACAGCTGTAATCCCAGCACTTTGGGAGGCCAAGCCAGGTGGATTGCTTGAGTCCAGGAGTTTGAGACCAGCCTAGGCAATGTGGCAAGACTCTGTTCCTATAAAAATTCAAAAAATTGACTGGGTGTGGTGGCACACGCCTGTAGTCCCAGCCATGCTGGAGGCTGAGGTGGGAGAATTGCTTGAGTCCCCCAGGTGGGGGAAGGTGAGCTGAGATTGCCCAACTGCACTCCAGCCTGGGCGACAGAGTGAAGCCCTGTCTCACCGTCTCAAAAAAAAAAAAAAAAAAAGTTACAATAATGAAGCCCACTTCACAGCATTTTGGCATTGTGAAATACTTGATTTGAACTGAATATAAACTAAGGAGCTGTATTGGTGGTAGTTATGAGTTAATTGGATTGCCTGGGAAGTAGCCACCTTCTCGGAGGGCCTTTATGGCGAAGGTTTCCTGGGGTCTTGCCGTTTCTATTCCATGTGGCTTCCTTGCTCAGTCTGATTTTGGAGATAAAAGATTTCCTCCCTTTGTTTACGTGGTTGATTTTACTGCTACAACAGACTTTAGGATTGTTTTTCTGGAGTTAGGTGGGGGTAGGGGTGGGGACTTGGGTGTAGAGTATAGGTTCAGTCAGGGCTTTCCCTTGATGGTGGTGGGCATCTTCCTATCCTTTAATTAGTCATTTTCTGGCAAACTAAGAAGTGGAAAATTTGAGAGTGGTTGCCAAATTGTGACTATGGGGATGTAGCCTGCAGGTTAAACGTTGAGAAGCCCCGATTGCTGGCTTTGTTTTCAGGAATTGGAGCCTAGCAAAACAAGGTGGCCACCACACGGGAGTGTTCCTAGGGCTTCTGAGAAGTTTTCACGGCCCCTCTGGAAGTGACTTGTAAGTTGTAGAGGTTAGTCTGTTTAATCCAGCTTGGTGTACCTCGTGGAAGCTTACTTCCTAGGACAGCACCACCCAATAGAACTTTCTCTGCAAATGTAAACGGTCTGTAATTTTCAGTGTTCGTTACAATCGTCCCTGGCCTTGTGTGACTGTTTGACACAGGAAATAGGTGGTGAGACTGAGGAATGGAATTTCAAATTTTGTTTAATTAAAATTTACATAACCGGCCAGGGCACCGTGGCTCACACCGGTAATCCCAGCAACTTGGGAGGCCAAGGCAGGTGGATCACCTGAGATCAGGAGTTTGAGACCAGCCTGACCGACATAGTGAAACCCCATCTCTACTAAATACAAAAAAATTAGCTGGGTGTGGTGGTGCATGCCTATAATCCCAGCCACTCAGGAGGCTGAGGCAGGAGAATCCCTTGAACCCAGGAGGTGTCGATTGCAGTGAGCCAAAATTGTACCATTGCACTCCAGCCTGGGCAGCTAGAGTGAAACTCCATCTTAAAACAAAACAAAAAAATAAAAAAAAACTAGGCCGGGTGCAGTGCTTCGTGCCTGTAATTCCAGCACTTTGGAGGGTGAGGCAGGTGTATCACGAGGTCAGGAGATCGAGACCATCCTGGCCAACACGGTGAAACCCCGTCCCTACTAAAAATACAAAAATTAGCCGGGTGTGGTATCGCATATCTGTAATCCCAGCTACTCGGGAGGCTGAGGCAGGAGAATCACTTGAACCAGGGAGTTGGAGGTTTCAGTGAGCTGAGATCGCACCACTGCACTCTAGCCTGGCAGCAGCAGGAGACTCCGTTTCAAGAAAAAAAAATTTTTTTGCATAACCACATGCAGTAGTGGCTATATAATGCACTGTGGGGCTCTTGGTGGTTGCCCCTGTGCTCAGCCTGACATTGCGCTCCCCTGCCTCTTGCTCCAGGAATCCATAGCCTTACTCATTCCTCAGACCAGTTGCCCCATCCCCAAGTCTGTAAAATCTCTTCTGCTGTCTCTGACTTCTCTCACACTTGCTGGAGGGATCAATAATTGTGTTGTATAACTGAAAAAACATGAGATGGGCATGGTGGCTCTCCTCCCTGTATCCTAGCACTTTGGAAGGCCAGGGTGAGTGGATCACTTGAGGTCAGTAGTTCGAGACCAGCCTGGCCAACATGGTAAAACCCCATCTCTACTAAAAACACAAAAATTAGTTGGGTGTGGTGGCACATGCCTGTAGTCCCAGCTGTTCAGGAGGCTGAAAATCACTTGAACTTGGGAGGTGTAGGTTGCAATGAGCCAAGATCACACCATTGCCCTCCACCCTGAGTGACAGAGCAAGACTCCATCTCAAAAAAATAAAAAAATAAAAAATAAATTTTCAGAGCTGTAGAAAAGAAATAAATAAGGGCCAGGCGTGGTGGCTCATGCCTGTAATCCAAGCACTTTGGAGGCCAAGGTGGGCGGATCACCTGAGGTTGGGAGTTCAAGACCAGCCTGACCAACATGGTGAAACCCCATCTTTAAAATAAATAAATAAATAAATAAATAAATAATTTTTTTTTTTTTTGAGATCAAGTCTCGCCGTGTCACCAGGAGTGTAGTGATGTGATCTTGGCTCATTGCAACCTACACCTCCTGGGTTTAAGCAGTTCTCCTGCCTCAGCCTCTCAAGTAGCTGGGACTACAGGTGCCTACAACCATGCCTGGCTAATTTTTTTTTTTTGTATTTTTAGTAGAGGTGCGGTTTCACTATGTTGGCCAGGCTGGTCTTGAACTCTTGACCTCAAGTGATCCGCCTGCCTTGGCCTCCCAAAGTGCTGGGATTATAGGAATGAGCCTCAGCGCCCGGCCAAAATAAATAAATTTTAAAATGAACTGTCTTTCTTGTTTTCCGGTCATTTCGGATGCTCTTTCCCCATGGCTAGATTGAGATCTTCATGGAGCTGGCCAGTCTTTGGGTGTTCCTTTTGTCTCTTAGGTCATGTAGATTGTGGCCATTAAATATTTATTGCCAACTAATTCACTGGTCTGCCTTTCTGACTGACTTCTCCCTTGACTCCCAGGTGCTTTGAAGAAGAGTCTCACAGCCAAGCAGGTCCAGGCGGACTTCATAACTCTGGGTAGGTCATTGGCCAAGGTTGCTCAGGGTGACAGGCTTCTGAGGCTTTTGATTATTGTAATGTCTCCTTCTGTTCTCTTATAGGTCTTAGTGAGGAAAAAGCCACTTACTTTGCTGAAAAGGTATAATTCCTCTTAATTAAGGTTAATTAAGATCCTTTGCTATTTATTTGTTTATTTATTTATTTTTGAGACCAAGTTTCACTCTTGTTGCCCAGGCTGGAGTGCAATGGCATGACCTCGGCTCACTGCAGCCTCCACCTCCCAGGTTCAAGCAGTTCTCCTGCCCTAGCCTCTTAAGTAGCTGGTATTACAGGCATGTGCCTCCATGCCTGGCTATTTTTATAAAAAGGAAATCAGCCGGGCGCGGTGGCTCACGCCTGTAATCCCAGCACTTTGGGAGGCCGAGGCGGGTGGATCACGAGGTCGAGAGATTGAGACCATCTTGGTCAGCAAGGTGAAACCCCGTCTCTACTAAAAATACAAAAATTAGCCGGGCATGGTGGTGTACGCCTGTAATCCCAGCTACTCGGGAGGCTGAGGCAGGAGAATTGCTTGAACCCAGGAGGCGGAGGTTGTGGTGAGCCAAGATCGTGCCATTGCACTCCAACCTGGGTAACAACAGTGAAACTCTGCCTCAAAAAAAAAAGAAATAGAAAATGTGTATATAGGTTAGTCTGAATTCACCTACATATTTTTAATAGAGAGGTTTCACCATGTTGGTCAGGTTGGTCTCGAACTCCTGACCTCAGGTGATCCACCCACCTCGGCCTCCCAAAGTGCTGGGATTACAAGCGTGAGCCACCGCTCCCGGCCCCTTGCTTTTATTTCATGAAGAGAGAAAACAATGGGAAAACAATGGGAAATGCCGAGTATGGCCATACCATCCATCAGTATCATCATTTCCCCAGCCTAAGGTTTTCTTTTCTTTTTTTTTTTTTTTTTTTTGAAACAGAGTCTCATTCTGTCACCAGGCACCAGGCTGGAGTGCAGTGGCACGATCGCGATCACAGCTCACTGCAACCTCCCCTCCCGGGTTCAAGCAATTCTCTTGCCTCATCCTCCGGAGTGGCTGGGACTACAGGCTTGTGCTACCACGCCCAGTTAATTTTTTTTTTTTTTTTTTTTTTTTGAGATGGAGTTTCGCTCTTGTTACCCAGGCTGGAGTGCAATGGCGCGATCTCGGCTCACCGCAACCTCCGCCTCCTGGGTTCAGGCAGTTCTCCTGCCTCAGCCTCCTGAGTAGCTGGGATTACAGGCACGCGCCACCACGCCCAGCTAGTTTTTTGTATTTTTAGTAGAGACGGGGTTTCACCATGTTGACCAGGATGGTCTCGATCTCTCGACCTCGTGATCCACCCGCCTCGGCCTCCCAAAGTGCTGGGATTACAGGCTTGAGCCACTGCGCCCGGCCTTGCCCAGTTAATTTTTGTATTTTAGTAGAGACAGGGTTTCACTATGTTGGCCAGGATGGTCTCAATCTCTTGACCTCGTAAGCCACCATGCCTGACCTCCCCAGCCTAAGGTTTTCATTTGGCTTCAAGTGAGTGTCATACACACAGCTTTAACCAGCAGTGTTCAGTGCATCTCTAATCATTTCTCCTGGTTTGACCCAGTCACAAATCTACCCATTTTCACGGATCAGGAGAAGACTTACTTGTAAAAATACTCCTACTTTCTCCAATTTGCTGCTCTCAGATGTCACTGTGACAAAAAAAAAATGACTGATTGAGAACTTACCATGAAGACCCCAGTTTTGCCATTGGCCAGTAGAAGCCATGCAGGCGCCAGTATGAGGGCAGCACCATTTTTATTCCAAGATGGTACAAATCTTGGAATGAAAAATAAAACATTTATGTTGTGGTCTGCCACTTTGTACCCGTCCTTCACTAGGTATGTGCATACAGGCTGAGCCCTTGGTTCTGCACCCTCCCCACCATCTGTGTAAATGCTATTAAATATTGCAGTGTTTGGGGCAGGATGGAGAGGAGGAGATTCTTCCTATTGTTACTGACTTTGGCTTTTGCTTTTGTTCCAGTGGAAGCAGAATGCCCCCACCCTTGCTCAGTGGGCCATAGGTCAGACTCTCATGATTAACCAGCTCATTGATATGGAGTGGAAATTTGGAGGTAACTAGTTACATGCAGTCCTGGGTTATTTGGGTGGTATGGGGTGGCTTGCAGAGGCTGTGACACAGCCACTATGGGGAAGAAGTCATGTCTAGTCCCCAGCACTGTTGGGGCAGCAGCAGCTGCTTTGTATTCTGTCCACAGTCAGTAGCTATTTTCATTCATGGCTCTGGATAAGTTGACTTTCCAAAGAGCACAACTTGCTGCCCTCATACTGGGCCCCACATGGCTTCTGCTAGACTGCTACAAAATTGGGGTCTTCAGGATAAGTCCTCAATCAGTCACTTGTTACTTTTCTCTCTCTCTCTCTCTCCCTTTTTTTTTTTTTTTTTTTTTTTAATGTCACAGTGACATCTGGGAGCAGCGAACTGGAGAAAGTGGGAAGTATATTTTTACAAGTAAGTCTTCCCCTGATCCTTGAAAATGGGTAGATTTTTGACTCAGTTAAAAATTATCAAATCTACACTGGGTTTCTTAAAATATCCATTTAAATGGGTGTTTTACTGAAGTACCTTATATATCTCAGAGCAGTGTAGCCAGCTAAAGATGTGGTCACTAACATGCCTATATTCAAATGGCCAAATCCTAGTATTGTTCATTAAAGTGTAATTGTTCTGTAATCGTGGGAATTGTTAGAATTTTCGGTGGTGGATTCTCCAGACTGCTCCCGTATGACTCTCAGGTTGGAAGCTTACTTAAGTGCAAAGGTTTTAAGAATTTCTTTGCCCAGTCGTCATCATTTTAATTTAAATTATTTCTTTTTCTTTAATCAGCTAAAGTTGGTGGTTAAAAAAGGAAATCAAACCGAAAATGTGTATATAGGTGAGTCTGAATTCCCATTTGAGCCTTTTCACCTTTTACGTGTTCTCTGCCGTCAGAGGCTGGTGACGTTTACTGCAAATCATGTCTTTTATAAAAACAGTCATTGCCAGCTGTAGAGTAGCCATTCCACTGTGTTTCCTCTCATGATGGCACAAGGAGTGTTAGTGAGCCATTGGCAGACTGGAGCCCCCGCAGTTGAAGAGCCTTTTTGACAAAGGGAAAGGGAGGGAAAGGAATGGCTGGGATTGAAGAAGAAGGTTGACGAGCAAGAAGCTCTTGCTGTAGAAGTCACATTGAACATCCCGAACGATGCCCTTTCATCTCTTTGTGCCGTGGAGCTGTGCCATTTGAACACTCACTCCCCTTTTTTCCTATGGAGCTGAGAACCTTCTGCATTCAAGTCTCTCAGTTCTTTATTACGATCAATTACCCATCAAGAGCTGCTTAGATGTACCAAGCCAAAAGATTAAAAAAAAAAAAAAAAACTCTGGGTGGAAATTAATTTTCTTGGATGATTCTGGGGAGTTGGAAACATTTATCTGAAGCTGAATTTTCTCTCCCCAGAATTAACCTTGCCTCAGTTCTACAGCTTCCTGCATGAGATGGAGCGAGTCAGAACCAGCATGGAGTGTTTCTGCTGATTTCTGTCCCTGCATCTCCACTGACCCCATTCCCTGCCCTCGTCCCTTCCCTGGGTGACTGCTCTGAGAGGCACCTCACTTACAGGTCTGTGGGGCACTCCATGGGGCCCTGCCGGTTTCTTGGGAGCCCAGTGAAAAGGGTTTCTGAAAAACAATAGGATTAATTACTTAAAGAGCCCAACACAATTACCCTATAAACTCTGGGGTAAACTCTCTGTTATGGCAACCACAACCACCTGTCTGTCTTCCAGAACACATTTTAGATACTCTCAAAGGCCACTGCATCTCAGATTCATGGGAGAAAATAAGTTGTCACCTCCCCTTCAAAGTTCCAGAGTAAACAGTGCCATCATTCAAGCTAACATGCTGATCACCCTCCTCCCAAAAAGCAAGAGCTTGTTTATGGCTGAGGAAGAAGCTGATTGTCTGAACAGCACATGTGCAGAGCCCTCACGGATTTCTGTACACTCTGGGTCTGTGCTGGTGGAACACTGCCAATCAGTTTTTAATGAGGCACCTGTGTATAAATACATGCTTGGTCTTCTCTGCAAAGAACCAAGGCTAGCCGGGCGCGGTGGCTCAAGCCTGTAATCCCAGCACTTTGGGAGGCCGAGGCGGGTGGATCACGAGGTCGAGAGATCGAGACCAACCTGGTCAACATGGTGAAACCCTGTCTCTACTAAAAATACAAAAAATTAGCTGGGCATGGTGGCGCGTGCCTATAATCCCAGCTACTCAGGAGGCTGAGGCAGGAGAATTGCCTGAACCCAGGAGGCAGAGATTGCGGTGAGCCGAGATCGCGCCATTGCACTCCAGCCTGGGTAACAAGAGCGAAACTCCGTCTTAATAAAAAAAATAAAAATAAAAAAAAAGAACCAAGGCTAAACTCTCCTCACTTCTGGTTTCGCCCTGTTGTGTTATAACAAGGCAGGCCTTTTGAGTCATTTTAGTTTGGGTTCAAGCCAGCTACGTCTGTTGATTAGATGATGAATAAAAACGGTTTTGAAGTAAAGGTCTGGATCCAGTTGTATTTCTGCATGGATTAAAGAGTCGTGTTCCTTGCAGAGAGCCAGTGCTTGCTCTTGTCTTCAAAAATTATCTTCCTGGTTTTGTGAAGATCCTGGGTCTCCAGTGAAATTGGGTATGTTCCAAAGTTGGAATGTATGAGAGCAATTCAAGGGAAATCCAGGTTAAAAGCCTCAGGAAAGCCGGGCGCGGTGGCTCAAGCCTGTAATCCCAGCACTTTGGGAGGCCGAGGCGGGTGGATCACGAGGTCGAGAGATCGAGACCATCCTGGTCAACATGGTGAAACCCCGTCTCTACTGAAAATACAAAAAACTAGCTGGGCGTGGTGGTGCGTGCCTGTAATTCCAGCTACTCAGGAGGCTGAGGCAGGAGAATTGCCTGAGCCTGGGAGGCGGAGGTTGCGGTGAGCCAAGATCGCGCCATTGCACTTCAGCCCGGGTAACGAGAGCGAAACTCCGTCTCAAAAAAAAAAAAAAAAAGCCTCAGGAAAAAGTGTAATATGTGAAGTGCTTTGTGTACAGATGGCTTTAGCCCTCACCCTAGCATGTGACTTTTTCTGCTCTTCCTCCTCAAACACCCCTCCTCAGAAATTTTACACACTTTTGAATAGATAAAACATGCCCATGACTGGGCCCGATGGCTCACGCCTGTAATCCCAGCACTTTGAGAAGCCAAGGTGGGTGATTCACAAGGTCGAGAGATGGAGACCATCCTGGCTAACATAGTGAAACCCTGTCTCTCCTAAAAATACAAAAATTATCTGGTCATGGTGGCATGTGCCTGTAGTCCTAGCTACTTAGGAGGCTGAGGCAGGAGAATCACTTGAACCTGGGGGGGCAGAGGTTGCAGTGAGCCAAGATTGTGCCACTGCACTCTAGCCTGGGCAACAGAGTGAGACTCCATCTCAAAAAAAAAAAAAAAAAAAAATGCCCAGGGTGAGGTAATAATCCCTCCCTACCACCGTATTTCCCAGTTACCCAATTCTCCCCAGGGGCAGCCGCTGTTATAATTCTGTGTTCTGGAGACATTTCCTGCATTTGCAAACGGATATGCATATAGTTTCACTTTTCTTCCCACACAAATGGTAGCATTTTATACACATCATCCTGCACCTTGCTTTTTTCTATTCGACTTGGAAATCATTCCGTATCAGAACATAGAGAACTGCGTCGTTCTTTGTAACAAACGCACCCTGTTTCTTCAAATGGATGATTTATTTAACCAGTTTCCTGCTGATGGGTGTATAGGTTGTTTCCATTCTTTTACAAATAATGCTACAACAGAATATCCTTGTATATATGTCATTTTGCACATATGGTAAATACATATTTATAAGGTAATTACATATGTATGGAACTGCTGGGTCACAGAATAGGTGCATTTATCAAAGAATACAAAAAAGAGTAAAACAAAAAGTCTCTTCTCCCTTGTCTCCCATTTACTTAATTCCACCCCTGGCCTGTTCCAATAGGTTACCTCTTTTGTTAGTTTCTTAGGTACCCTTCCAGAGGTTCCCCCAAACATAGAAACAATAGGGCCATTCACAGTGGCTCACATTTCTAAGTCTGTAATCCCAACATTTTGGGAGGCTGAGACAGGAGGATTGCTAGAGGCCAGGAGTTTGAGACCAGCCTGGGCAATATGGGGAGACTCTGTCTCTACAAAAAATTTAAAAATTTGCTGAACATGGCCGGGTATGGTGGCTCATGGCTGTAATCCCAGCACTTTGGGAGGTTGAGGCAGTAGTTCAAGACCAGCCTGGCCAACATGATGAAAACACGTCTCTACTAAAAATACAAAAATTAGCCAGGCGTGGTGGCAGGCGCCTGTAATCCCAGCTACTCAGGAGACTGAGTCGGGAGAATTGCTTGAACCTGGGAGGTAGAGGTTGCAGTGAGCTGAGATTTTGCCACTGCACTCCAGCCTGGGTGATAAAGCCAGACCCTGTCTTGAAAAAAAAAATTCACTGAATGTGGTGGCATATGTTTATTGTCCCAGCCACTTGAGAGGCTGGGGCGGGAGGATTACTTGAACCTAGAAGTTAGAGGCTGCAGTCAGCTGTGATCAGTCACACCACTGCACTCTAGCCTGGGCAACAGAGTGAGACCCTGTCTCAAAAAATTAAAAAATAAACAATGGGAATGTTTATTTTTACACTCTTTTTTGTTTACACAGATAATTTCACATTCTACATACTTTTGTTAAATACATCTTAGAGACCTTTCCATATCATTACATAAAGAGTCTGCATCTCTCCCTGTGGCTGTAACATATTCTGTTGTGTGGATGGATTATAACCAGCATGAGCAGTTTTCTTTTTGTTTTTTTTTGTTGTTGTTGTTGTTGCTGTCGTTTTTTTTGAGATAGAGTCTCGCTCTGTTGCCGAGGCTGGAGTACAGTGGTGCCATCTTGGTTCACTGCAACCTCTGCCTACTGGTTTCAGGCAGTTCTTCTGGCTCAGCCTTCCCAGTAGCTGGGATTACAGGCATGTGCCATGATTGCCTGGCTAATTTTTGATTTTTAGTACAGATGGGGTTTTGCCATGTTGGTCAGAAACTGACCAATGTTTCACCATGTTGGTCTTGAACTCCCGACTTCAGGTGATCCACCTGCGTTGGCCTCCCAAAGTTCTGGGATTACAGGGATGAGCCACTGCACCCGGTCCAGCATGAGCAGTTTTAATAAATTGTGCCAGTGTTAATTACAGTTCTTGGAGAACAGAATCAACAGGATACGTGTGTACCTATCTATATGTATATATGTATTTATGTGGAGAGAGAGATTTATTTTTTATTTTAAAAGACTGTCGGCCAGGCACAGTGGCTCATGCCAATCCCAGCACTTTGGGAGGCCGAGGCAGGTGGATCATGAGGTCAAGAGTTCAAGTCCAGCCTGGCCAATATGGTGAAACCACATCTCTACTAAGAATACAAAAATTAGCTGAGCACAGTGGTGCTTGTAGTCCCAGCTACTAGGGAGGCTGAGGCAGGAGAATCGCCTGAACCTAGAAGGTGGAGGTTGCAGTGAGCTGAGATCATGCCGTTGCACTCTACTAGCCTGGGTGACAGATCGGAGACTCCCTCTTTTTTCCTCAAAAAAAAAGAAAAAAAAAGATTGGCTCACATGATTACAGTGGCGTGGTCAGTCTTCAAAATAGACCAGCAGGCTGAAGATGCAGGAAGAGTTGCAGTTCAAAGAGTCTCTGCCACCTGGGCACTGTGGCGCACACCTGTAGTCCCAACTTGTTGGGAGTCAAAGGCATGAGGATCAGTTGAGCCCAGGAGTTCAAGACCAAGACCAGTCTGAGCAATGGCATGAGACCTTGTCTTAGAAAGAAAGAAAAGAAAGAGAAAGTAAGAGAGAGAAAGAAAGAAAACAAAGGCTGGCTGCTGTCAGAATTCATTGCTGGGGGGAGTGGGATAGGATACCAGGCTTATTTCATTAAGGCTTTAACTGATTGGATGAGGCCCACCCACATTATGGAGAGGAATTTGCTATACTATATAGATCCCCCCATATCCATGTTTTCATTTTCCCTGGTTTCATTTACTCACAGTCTGAAAATATTAAGTGGAAAATTCCAGAAATAATTTATAAGCTTTAAATTGCATACCATCCTGAGTAGCTTGATGAAATCTCATGCTGGCCCACTTCATCCTGGACAAGAATGCATGTTCTGGGACAGGAATCACTCCTTTGTCCAAGTACCCATGCTACATATGCTGTTAATCACTTAGTAGCAGGCACTGTCAAATAGAGAGAAACATACGTATAGGGCTCGGGACTATCCATGGTTTTAGGAATCTGCTAGGGGACTTGGAACATTTGTCTTATGGATAAGGAGGGGCTGCTGTACTTAAAGGTCCACTGATGTAAATGTTACTGTCATCCATAAACACCTTCCCAGAAATGTCTAGAATAGTGTTGGACCAGCTCTCTAAGTACTGTGGTCCAGCCAAGTTGAGACAAAATTAATCCTTACAGTGCCAAACTGACCTTCTACATTCTTTCTTTTTTCTTTTTTTTTTTTTTTTTGAGACGGAGTTTCGCTCTTGTTACCCAGGCTGGAGTGCAATGGCGCGATCTCGGCTCACCGCAACCTCCGCCTCCTGGGTTCAGGCAATTCTCCTGCCTCAGCCTCCTGAGTAGCTGGGATTACAGGCACGCGCCACCACGCCCAGCTAGTTTTTTGTATTTTTAGTAGAGACGGGGTTTCACTATGTTGACCAGGATGGTCTCGATCTCTCGACCTGGTGATCCACCCGCCTCGGCCTCCCAAAGTGCTGGGATTACAGGCTGAGCCACCGCGCCCAGCCTACATTCTTTCAATTTCTGCTTCCACCAACAAGTTTATTGTCCAGCAGTTCCAAAGAAGAACAGATGAGGGCCTTTGAACAGTGTCCAGATGTATTCATGAGGTTTCAGAGACCCTCATGTGCTTGAGACCATGAGAACCTAATGTATTAATAAAAAGAATTCAAAAAAGTAAAAATAAAAAATTAGAAAAAAAAAAAAACATTCACAGAACAGGAAGGTACCTAAAATACAATCTATTTATTATAATTATTTGTCGAGATGGAGTCTCGC